GTCCCATCAACATCGCTATGTTTTGTGACTATGCATTTTACAAGAGCAGAGCAGATACCAGCAACATCTGTATGGGGCTGCCGACATGCAGATTTTATATTTGACCTTGCTTGGTCACTCAAAGTGCTGCTGTTTTACGGTGACCTTTGTGCTTGACTGTACATTGAAGTTGCTACCATCGGTGGGTGACTGACAGATAGGCCGTGCGTGCCTGTAAAGACATGTTTAATGAGTTGAGAAGGGCCTCAAAGCAGCAAAGTTGCCAGACACGAAAAACAGTCTGGAACCCCCAACCTGTGTCCTGGGACCTCGAGCAGCTGCATTTGATATTTCCTTTTATTTGCTCCATTTCTTAGTGTGACTTTAGGAGGGGAACCAAAGTCAGAGCCAATGGGTCATAAAAACACTCCACACAGTTGGAGCATCTAAGTGAGTTGAAGTTAAAACGCTAACTAAAACTGTTTGTGGGGTAACTGATGCCAAACTCCACTGAGTGTGCATCATCCCCCCCCCGACACATTATTCTGTTGTCTTTGTTTGGCTGCTTATGTTTCAATGTCAAACAACATTTCCTTTGAATTCATTGAAGTCACTTAAAATAAATCATTGTGTGAGTGGCTTTATCTAAGTGGGTGTGTGCGCATCAGCCGAAAGAAACGGAAAGGCAGCGAATGGAATCTGTTACACATGTCTCTGTGTGTTATTGTGGTTGAAAACAAGTGTGTGCGGGCATTCCAGTTTTATTTACGTTGGTGGGCGATGGAACGAGTTATCAAGTTATTGTCTCTGTGTTTTGTATGCATGCACATTCATGAGTGTGTTTGTGTGTTTATGCGAGTGAGCTGGTGTCACGCAGAATCTTGAGCTTGTTATTTCACGACATCCTAAACAGATATAAAGAAGTCACACAGAGACACGAAGGGGGCAGCAATAGGAATGTGTGCATGTGGGTGGGAGGTTAATTTGTGGTCCAATATTAAACAGAAGTTTCGGCTATAAATAAGCCATCACCACTCAACTGCAGCCTCTTCAAGTGAGCCGCTCTTTAACATTCCTCAGATTCCTCCTTGTTAAGAATTAATAAAGAATAAATGGAAACAGTTCCGCATAGTTTCCTGTCATTTACACATATGTAAGGGTTTATAACCATAACTCATCCCCGAGCAAACACTCGCAAATCCACACTCAAGCCCACGGATACACGCATTAGTTGGCAGTGTGCCCCAAGCATCTCACAGAGGACTTGATTTGTCATCCCACCTCATCTGGCCTCTATCAGTTTCTGGCCTGACAGCTTAATCTGTGTCATTCATTCTCTCACATCAAAGAGGCACCGAGCAATCTAAACCTGCAATGTTTGAACGTGAGCGAACCCACTGTCGCACACACACACACACAGACACACACAGACACACACAGACACACACACACACACACACACACACACACACACAAAGTAGATTAGAAAATGCACAAGTTAGTCAACTACCTCTAAGCATCTGTGTTCTTCTTGACATGAGGATCATTATAATCAACATCAGCAGTCAAGCGGAAACTTTCTGTATCAAATGTCCGCACTAGTTATCATGGTCACACTGATAGTAAATTCAAGCAACAAACTAACTTAAACAGTGCTGTAGACAAACTCTGATCTTTGAATTGGCCTAGAAATACACGACGTGTGTCAGAAAAGTTCCAGAACGGGTGTCACAAAAGATATATTTCAAATCCAAGCTACAAGTTTCTCCTCGGAGACTTTCCCAGCCTTCTCTGCCATGCTGCCTTGCTCTCCTTCCAGGATTCTTCCAGGATCCTCCGCAGCTCCATCATCACAGCCATCTTGATGTTGTCCACGTCTTCAAAACGGGTCCCCTTGATGACCCCCTTCGAGCCTAGGGAAGAGGGAAAAATCACAGGTGGGGTGAGTAGAGAGGTTGCTCCAGCACGGCCATGTTCTTCTCAGCCAGGAATTGTCGGATGCTCAGGACATTGTGAGCAGGCGTGTTGTCATGGTGAAGCAGCCACGACTTGTCCTGCCACAACTCTTGCCTCTTCTTGCGCACTGAACGAAGCAAACGCTGCAGGATCTCTTTGTAGACGTGCTGGTTGATCGTCTGAAGGGGAAAACTCGTTTGTAGTTTGGGTTTGGAATATATCTTTTGTGACACCAGTCCTGGAGCTTTTCTGACACACCTCGTAGACCTCTGTTGCCACCTCGACCTTCCCTTTCCGTCAAGTGACAGTTACTTTACGTAATCTTTAAGACGACGACTGTCCAACCAAGAGTTTCTGTGCGGTATCAAGCATCAGTCCCATCCTGTCTGTCCTGTTAAAGCTAGAAAAGAGCTCCTTAAAACGCTCCTTAAAAAATTCAACAGGACAATTAACTCTGACCTCAGGCTTAACTCACGCACACCCTATTAGCCACGGCATTTACTGGTTGCTCTTGTGGCCAGCGGATAACGTCATATGAGATCCAACTGTGCGTTGCCATAGCAAAAAGCCAATAACAAAACCAAGACTGGTAATGAAGCCCTGATCATCTTGGCTTTTGTGGCCAGCATGCAGTAAGGTCATGTAAGACAGCAGCTTAATCCGCCTCATTATATAGAGAAATACATAGGCTGAAAGAAGACAACGATGAAGAGAAGACATAGAGGGAGAAGGACATCAAGAAGTGTTGAGTGACACCATGAGCTCAGGTACGAGCAGCTTGGACAAACACTGAGGGCGGGAAGTCGGGGTCTCTGACCTCGGCTCTCTAACCCCAGGCCCCCATTAAGCCTTGTAAACGAGAGAAAGAGGAGCAATTAGAGAAGAAGTCATGAGGCAGGTAGGAGATCCCCATGACCTCTCAGGGCTGGTATTTGACCTCTCACAGCTGGGAGCCTTGATGTAGATATATCCTGAGCATGGAGAGGATGTATTTTCTGAAAGGTACTGGATGGAAAAAGAAAAAAAAGAAACAACAACATTTTTCCTCTCAGCCCTCAAAATGCAACACATGCTGGAAACAGCAGTGGGGATTATGTTGTTTATCCCTGTTTGTATGCTCACGTTCTAAACAAGCACTTTAATGGTTGTGGGTGGGTCTGCATTCCTATATAACATAAAATGATCTTTAACTACAATTTAGTTAATTCAGCATTCAATGTGTTTTGCATTTAAAAGCTCCAATGAGGAACCAAATGTAATTTACAGGTGTTTATCACATGTGCTGCTCTTAAAAAAATGTTTTATGGCTCTGCTGCAAACTTCAACCTGAAACCTCCGTGACTTTAATGAAACCTAAAATTTGACAATCTTTTTAGAAATCAGAAAACACTCAGATACAGTGTGAACAGCTGGACCACACCGATGATTTGCCTGTATGTTTTATCCATTACCCCTCCTCCTTAAGCACACAAACGCACACAGATCCCCACTGGCAACCTGTGAAAAGATGTAAATCTCATTTCCGTGTGTCCCATTCAGCCAGAGCTGCCTCTAAATCAGGCTAAAGCAGCCAGTAACTATGTCTGTGTGCCACTAACATTACAAGATAACAGCTAATCCCTCATAAACGCCATTACCCTAATCTCCCATAAAGCTATTCTTAGCATATACTGCACCACTGGAGTGAGACAAAAGCAGAATTTGAGATGTGTGAAGATGAAGGCCAGCCTCTGGGGTTTTATTGTATGGAGGCCTGCCAGACTCTAGCTGGTGTTACAGTGGAAATCAGGGGGACAGAGAGATGAAAGGACAAAGCAGCAAGGGGTGAACAAAGCAAATGTACGGCAGATAGAAATGCAGTCACATATATAAGGAGAGACTATGAAAAATGGAATTGAAACTTCAAGATGCAGGACTTGTTTGAAAAAATCAGATTGATCGAGACTGATAAGGACAAAATAATACGAGTAAACTGCTGGGTACTTCGAAAACAACATTATATTGTATTTTGTCAGCTCAAACATAACACAGATCAGCATCATCACTGGTCCACTCCAGTCTTACGTAATTCTGCCTTTGATCTCCTCTCTGGGGAAAAGCAAGCAGGCAGGTCTGTAAACAATTTGAAGACATTTATGGAAACCAATCCGATTCTGTGCGTCTATTCCAATTTTCTGAACCCCCTGTATTTGAAGCTAAGCCATAAAACTGAAGAGACATTGTGTTTATTCTTCCAACTTAGAGAGTGTGTGTGTGTGCCAGGGACGGAAAATACATCAAGCTCAGTAGAGGACTGTATGTTTCCTGTGGTTGAAAAGAATTTAAAAAGAAGGACTGTCATGTACCAAACCATGTGTTTATTATCCAGTGTTATAAGGAAGAATGACACAGTAATGTATCCAGGCAGGCAGGCAGATGGGAGAAAGGCTCTTTTCTTGTCCAACTCATTTGCATGAAACTCCAAGCTGCCAGATTCTTTTGGTGCCACAATGCCCATCAAGCTGCAAATAACTGCTCTGACGACTATTTTTGTCTCCCTGCTCAGGTTTCTCCCCGCTAGACTTCAAAGAGACTTGTAACTTGGAATTACTGCAGCTGAAAAACAGGAGGGCAGAAGCAGATAAACTAATTTCCCGGCCCTATTATGAGGCCCTGGTTAGTGGAGGGACCTGGTTTACGCTGGTATGCGCTCTGCGGCTGCTTCACATGAACCTTGTTGACGAGCCCGTGCCAGTCGCATGCTTGTCCTCCTGCGCGCACGACCTTTTGGAGGAGTCACCATGGATGAACAACTGGCGGACTGAGGGAAGAATACACCCTCTCAATCTTGGTGTTTTGGTGCTGCTACAGTGCAGCATCCGCACAGTGTGTGTGTGTGTGTGTGTGTGTGTGTGTGTGTGTGTGTGTGTGGG